GCGTATTCATTGTCACCATGTAGCATGGCAAGACATTCAGGTCTCATAGTCAGATATCGACATACAAATGTTTTTGTTTTACCATTGTAGTGAAGACTTTGGATTGCAAAAATATATTAACCTCCATTTTTTCAAGTTTATAAAACGTGAAGTTTCTAATTTATAAATGAACGTCTGCACGTATTTGCTCATTCAAAGACGGCGTCACCGTGATTTCAATTGTTGTCGCCTTTGTTCACGAATTTTTATTCGATCTAGAAGTTTTTCCGATGACAATTAGTTTGAATAATTATTATTTCATTCTATTGCATCTACGTCTTTTTTATTCTGATAACAGAAACGATGTTAAATTGAATTAATCAGCATTCAATGCATACAAATCATCATAAGTTATCACACAGTAACAAACATTTAAACATTTCATATTAAATCTTTACTCCTTGCCAAATAGTGCACGCAGTCCCTACGCACACAATAGTCCCTACGCAGTCTCACCTATTGCTTGCCGTGTGTTAAATTCTGTACAAGCTAGCCTAATTATTCTACAAATTCTAAAAAATATCGACCCCAGGATCATACGTTAGTAGAATTGGCCTACATCTAGGTAGGAGTCGTACAGTCCTGCATTATGCTCTTGCGTCAATAGTGCGCTAGCATTTAGTTTGAAGTAACAATCAATTACAGAGTAGCTGTAGAAGACCATTTACTTTCTAATACTTGCTATAAATCAGCCCGGAAACGCAGCTCGCGTGCTTCCAGTGCCGCTCATTCATCCGCAGTCCCGCACTGCGTGACAGTCATGCAGGGGTCGGTGACGCCACGCAGCGTGGGGAAGATTGCCGTGCAGCGGCTGATGCAATCACTCTCCAAGAAGCCGGACGATGTACCTTATGCTCACTTTTCCTTTGCCTAATATGAAGGAAACTCGAGAAAAATAAATGGTCCTGTTCTACTTCACATTTACCGATAGAAGGTCTAATAAAAGAATGTCAAATTATCTAATTTTCATGTTTATTCGTTCTCTGATGGGATGGCACATGATGAACGAGTCGCCTAACTGGGACAGTTCAGTCACTTTAATGATGTAATTATTTTACGAAATTGAAGGACATCGTCGTAACGATCACATGCTAAAAGAACATAACCTACAGTCCTTTTGTTAGAGGGGTATTGTTTTTGCCTCTTAATTTCCGCATTATTTACTCTAGCTTTCGCGTGACGATTGAAATTATTCAAATCGAAAGTAATTCCTTTCAAGACAAAACGATGCAATACGTCGAAAATGTTGATCACAGCGTTTCAGCGATGAAAGAATGGAATCACCACAGTACCAATTCCCCTCTATGCAAATTACCGGAATGCTCCGATTATTTAAATAATAAGAAATGGACGGACTGTAGTTACCATTCACCCCGCGATGCGAAAGTGTTGATCCCTGACGCGTTAATTTGTCTTAGTCGTGACGCGCATTCGTCTTGATTGCGAAGAGGCAACCGCAACGGGACCTCGCGGGGGACATTTGCGGTGTGGTCAGTCTTGTGACGTGTGTTTAGTGTGTATCATCCTATAGAAAATATTCATCGATCAGATTTTATAAGAGGGACGGGTTTAGAGGGTCACTCGTATGACCGCTCCTTATATCAAGCATTACTCTCTGCGAAATTAATGTTTTTGGGAAATCTGACCCGAATTTGGAGCTGTTCATGCTTCACAAAACTTTTCCAGATTACAGTAAATTCTGAACAAATAGTTATATACATTTATTGCAAATACTTATTCCTTTAACAAAAGAAAAATATCCTTGAAGTGGTAATAAGATCAAATGATAAGCGCCAAAAGTTGAAATGAAAATTTAAATGTTTGACTTTACATAGGTAATTAAGCCCGAACCTAGAATTAATTTAATCTCAGAAGCGACTTGTGTAATGATGAAAATTTCATATAAAATACAGTAACCTTTTTCTACTTTCAGGATCGACTTCGACACTAGCAAGGCACAGGAGCAAGTCACCCCTATCCGCCGCTTCTTTCCCTCTAGATGGCGGTCTATTCCTCCCACCAGCTCCTCTTCCCTCTTTATCCCTTCTCCCCGAGTCTGAACCTAGTGCACGAAAATTCAGTGATTCTCTCCCCACAAGACTTCTTCACCGAAACAATCGAATCCCTTTTCATGACACACACGAAATAAATTATGGATTCAGTCTCCGTGATATGAAACCAGTGAATGCACGAGCACCCTTGAAACTGAACGCTACTCCTGGAAACGTACTGCCTGAATCTTTCCATCAGGTCGCTCTCAATTTAAATTCTAGCAATGGGTCATTCTACCTAAATAACCAGTCGCATCCTGAAAGATATTACAGGCCCATTTTTGAAATACTGAATGATAAAAATAGGAAACAATTTCATGAAAAAAGGACAAGTATCGGGCTTACGAAAGAAGAAATGCCGCTGAGCTCGAAAAATAAAGAAGAAAACAAGCAAACAGAACAAAACACGTCTCAATCGTTATTCAGTGATTTTTCTGCAAGGGCTGGCCTGCCGCAAGGATCTCTACACACTTTTCCACCAATATCCGTAGTTGAAACTGTAGATGAAAATGAAATGAATGATGTGACGCCTGCGGATTTCACCAGTGTCAACTTGAATACAAGAGAAGGTGAGCATTTGGCCTTGCACCCAAGAAATTTCGATGTTGGAATCCAACAGCAAGAAAGTTTGAGAACTGCTGGTTCCAAAATCATTCTGAATCAAATTGCTGACGGCGGAAAATCTCGTGATGAGGAGCCCCAAAATTTTACTGAAGAGAACATTGGAATTAACAAAGAGCCAAAGCCACAAGCAATTTTAGACATGGCCATTCCCAGCACTCAACTTCATCTAATGAGATCTTCTTTTAATGCACACGACCAACCTTCTTTCACTGTCATTCCACCAGCGAAAATTCACGGTACACGAGACGCATTTTCTTCATTACATAGCGCGCGATCACACGAGAACTTAACAACCACTGGTAAAGTGAACTTGGACATGCATTCTGAGGCCGATAACTTGACCGATGAGCAGCGTATGATGAGAAATGAACAATTGAATTCGAAGGTTAGAACTCCAGTGGATCGATCGGATACCATTTACTACGAAGATTATGATGAATACAGCACTCCTGCAGATGATGATTACATGTACGATTATTATCAATATTATGATGAATTCAAATCTAAAATAGAAGAAGAAAAGTTAGAAACCATTACTGCTCCTTCCAGTGAGCAGACAGAAAAACCGCAAGTTGTCCACGAGATTGCCGTCACAACTGATGCCTCAATCATCGGAGATAGCACATCATCAACTACTCTGAATGCTCATATAGAAGACATAACCGAATCATTGAAATTGGAAGATACTTTTCAATCCACGACGGAGTATCCCGGAGAAGTGATTATTGGCACAACCTTACCAGTGACTAACGAGAGGACGCCTGAAGTAGATGTAACTACTGCCTATCCTCTCACTGAGCCTGATTCTACTACTAAACAGGATGAGACCACACAAGCGTACATCCCTGTCACGGTCACGGAAAGAAGTGAATTACAAAACAGCAGCAAAGAAGAGCCTTACAGAAACTCTAACTTGACGTACGGAATCGATAAAAGATTAACACCGAGGGGAGATGACGTATCATTTGCTGCCGAGAAGCAAGGCCGACTAAAAGAACCTCCTCCCAAGTCAGGCAGAGGAAGTTTTAGGCATCGGTTGAACCTGCTCAAGCAAAAACGTCAAGACGCATCACAAACGCGTCAGTGGACTCCAACAGCAGCTACCCCAGTAGACAATCAAAAACCATTAGAAATAGCTAATGACGAATATTCTAGGACAGATAGTTTAATAACTACTACCGTAAACGATCGTGATGTCCCCAAAAATAACATTGAAACCCAGCCGCTGGATTTTAATACCCGTCTCAAAAACAGAATTTTTACCACTCCTGCCATTGCCGCCCAAAGAGCTCGGATCAGGAAACCAACCGTCTCAGAAGAGACTACGGCTTCCACTTACGAGCCTCCCGCGAAAGCAAGTTTACCAGAACGAACTGCCAGTCCATTTTTGAAGAAAGATTTGAAAATGACTTTTGCTTCGTTTTTTGATAACATGCCTAAGAGACAGACTTTACAAGGAAGAACCACAGCTCGCGAGAGGACAACTAGTCATTACTGGCCAAGCAGTGCTTTGCGACCTACCGTTCCTGGAGAGATCGAATTGAAAAATACCACTGAAATAGATTTAGAAGCAACAACAGAAATTGATACTGAAATAGATCGAAACAAACCTAAACCAATACTGAGAACAGACGACGAAGTTCCAAAAACATTAAAATTGAACGAAGATAAAATGAACTCTGATGATGATACTCACGGAAACAAGTCTGTCATAGTTGACACCGTCAATGAATCAGAGAAAAATTCCACTTCTCCTCAAAAAGTCAACAGTATTCTGAAATTTCTAAACAACCTTGCACTGCATGATTTGAAAGCAGAAACATCAAATCAAAATGGGAACGCAGAAAGCGGCGAGTTAGCGATTGATTCAACCACTTTACCTAGTCCAATTTATGTTGCGTCAACATCCGTGATTTCTCCGTACGAGTCTCCAAAAACACAAATACCTTCCTCTCATTTGTCCACTCGTACAACGAGGCAGGCTCCGTCTGCTACAGAAGCTTCGCCAGAATTTGAAAGTACGACATGGCACTCAATCCTGCACGAAAACTCATTCGGCGAAGTCCTCGAAAAAAAATCTGTTTCCAGTGCTGAATCAAGTGAATCGGGCATCACACCTACCGTCAATTTGGCTACAATTACGAGCTTTTATGAAATTACCCCTACAGGCTCATCTATCGAATACACTCCCACTACAGCAGTTTTCCCTGTAGAAACAACTTTTTCTGATGTCCTTGAAAATACATCCATAGATACTATGAGTATTCATGAAATCAATAATTCTTCAGCTTACGACGACGCACATGCGTCAAGAGCATCAGCTAGCAGTTTTGGCAATAATTTCGTCAACGACACAATCTTAACTAGCCGTGCAATCCCCATTACCGCAGTACAAAATCTCACAAACAAGATCTCCGTCTCCAATGAAACGAATAAGGTCACAAAAACAATAAAAAATACTTTGGCTGGTGAAAATAATTCTAGGTTGAAGCTTGGTAACGGAGACGCATTATTTTCTGAAATAGTTGCTGGTCACTTTGGTAAACCTAGTAGGAAAACTACCATAACCATGTTTACTGATGCGTTTGCTCGCACTAATGAGTCGATTTCATCTTCGGAAGATAGACGTCAAAGTGGTGAACCCATAAAGATGGCCACGCAGACCATAATTCCGACCTTGCTGACTAAAAGCATTGCCAGCGTTGAAAAAGACATAGAAGTTCGCACAGAGCCTTCTCGATTTGCCTCGGAAAGCAAGACAGAAAGAAATCAGGACCCAACTAATTTCAGGAAACGAATTCACTCTGTCAGTGATTTTTCGTCTTCTCCATCCACTGTTGATTTTTCTTTAGAACGATTTCCACCCAGTAACAGCCAGTCATCATTTTCAAGATTACAAAATCTGCTTAACCAATTCGACTCAGGCTTGAGGCCGGAGCTTGCTTTGAACCAGTATTTCGGTTCCGATCCAGACGATGGAACGCTGTTAACATCTAATTCTCGTATCAACAATCGACCAAATCATGATAATACGAACACTAGAATTTGGTCTCGTCCTAATAATGGAATGAAGAGTAGTTTTGTCGACTGGAAAAATCTTCGTGGTGGAAGGAGCCCATTGGAATACAACTCTTTTGGCTCAATTCAGCAGGCTCTGACCAATAGCGTTAGAAACTCTCTGTTATCTTCCAATTTAGATGATCTTTCATCGGCTGCTTCAGAGGGAAATGTTGTGAATTCAGAAAGTCCAACAGAAGTGAGCATCACCTCTGAAGCCACACAAGCTCCAATTTCGTCAACGTCTTCTGATGCTGCTGGTCTAGGGACAGAAGAAACTTCAACACCGACATCGATTTCAATTATCACCTCGATTGTTGATGAGCTCTTTTCAGCCAATGCTACTCCGCCAGAACATACCACCATCGCCACAACTGAGGAATCTCAAGTCACTACTGAACTTCCTATGAAAACTACGACCCAATTGAACACCGAAAACCTGACTAATGAAGATTTGCTCCTGTTGGAGAAAAGCAACATAACCTCAAGTGTCGTTGACGAATTATTAAATGGGACTTTATGTTCTGATGATGTTTCAGATGAATTTCTCGAGGAGATTATCGAGATGACGAAAGGCAGATTGACTTCGGAGGTAAATAACACTGATGAAGCATCGAATGTAACTCTCCAACTGAAACAATTTTTACTTCAACAAAGAGAAAAAAATTCAACTGCAATATCAGAAGAAGACGAAAAATCACTGAAGGAGAGGAGAAATGAATTTTTGTCCAGCGATGCTGTGAGGGAAAGGCTCATGCTTCTTAGAATTTTCAAGGCGAAGAAGGAACGAGAATCTGGAGGTCGAGCGATTCAAAAGCATCTCAGAAAAGTTAAGGGAGCAACTAAAGTCTATCAAAGAACTGACGATGTTGATTTAGAAGGTATTGGAGTCAGGGTCAGCACTGCCGTCAAGTTAAGAGACATTCTTAGCAGGAGACACCGCGAAAAAAAGATTGAAGTGACGACCGAAGTGGTACCGACCACGATTACCCCTCCTCCCTCACTCAGGAGCCAAATAGAAAAATTCATGAATCGCAAGAATCAGAAAAAGGCTGAAAATAGCCGTCCTAGATACGAAAATGTTGTTAAAGTTAATGGTTTCAGAGTTATAAAAGAAAATAATGTTAAGGAAGATGAAGAACCCGAATCAACAACACAACTCGATGAAGAGATGATATTCTCCCAAGGAACTCAGGCTTCGTTTTCACAAGATTTTATTCCTGATGAAGTATCAATAGCATCATTTCTTCCCACAGTACCACCAGGAGACCGAAAAAATTTCCAATTGCAACCTACAATATCTGCACCTTTCAGTCAGGAAACTTCTAGAACTCTAAGGCAAGAGAGTACCAGAAACCCTCCATCAGGACACGTAGCGATCAGGAAAAAAGTTGATCATCAAATTTCAAACAAAAAAGCGAATGAGGCTCTAGGATTTCTAGAAGACTTACTGGTACGACAAAGTCCTAGAGACGAATCGTCTTCCTTGGCTTCTAAACTGAAAGGTAAAATGAACGAAAAGTTCCTACCGACCATCGCCCCAGCAGCTGTTACTCAAAATTTCGCCATAAACAGCATTACCAAGGCTAGAGAAAATGAGGAACGAACCTTCACATTTATTCCTACGGCTGCTCCCGAAGATGTAACGATGGCGGCTGCAAGTCAAGAATTTACTACGGCACGTGATCCACTAGAACGACCTTCCTACGATTACTATGACGAGAGCACTGAACCAACAATTGAATACTTTTATGAAAATGAGAATGGAAGACCTACCACCGTCAATCCAGAACCAAACCAGCTGAACTCATTATATATTGCAAGCAGAAACCTTCCTCATCAAAATACCGATGACCTCCAAAGTTCCCTTGACATTACTAAATCAGGAGGTAGCGAGATAGTATCAGTTGGAGATTCTGTCGAGGCAGAAATCGAAGCTTTCCTTGCATTACAAAATGAAAATATTGACTACTCCGAGGACGACGATATTAATCATTCTCATTTTGGTCACCAAATGACAACCCCTGAACCAGATCTCTTCGTTGGAGGTATTTTCAATCCGATCAACACTCTACCGTCGCAGGCGCATGTTATACAAAATATGCACAATCAGCCCTCTCCAACCCAAGTTGAAACCGCTCATCACGATGTTCAGCACAAGCGTCATGAGCCAATAAGTGATCGCGGTAGAAGGAACCATCATCATGTGCCGCAACCGATCGCCATTAGTACCAACACAAATGACCCTCACGATGAGGGACAGATCCCTCACGAAGAGGGACAGATCCCTCCCAGTAGAGCACCTCTCTCTCAGAGTGCTCCTATATCCTTTAGACCCCCAGGAGTCCGACATATCGTCAAGCCGCCTGTCAACGGAGCTGACCTCCGAAGGGCTGCACCACCCAGTGCCGTTCTCAGAGGTACCTTTCTTCCGCCCTCTACTCAACCGACACCCTTGCAGGTGACGAGGCACGAACACAGTCAAACTCCGATGCGCCAAATGGCGGGCGGTTCTGAGGACCGAGATCTTCAATCAGAACCGAGGCATATAAGCGACACAAATCGTTTTCAACAAGATTTTAATCACCATCGGGCTATTCAATTAGAGGGAAATTTTCATTCCCAATCTCAAATTCATCCCCAGATTAATTCGAATAGAAATAATCTTCCATCACAGCAACCAACCCTGTTTCAGCGTTCCAACATCTTTCCACTGGTTCCTGCTCAAAATCAAAAGCTCAATTCAGTAAATCAACTTTCCCCTGAAACTGCACATAGACATCGCGTAGCACACACAAATAACGAATTCCAGAGATTCAAACCAAGGTTCAGCACCCACGATCCTGGACAACATGATAGTGGGGTTGAAATATTTGATGGTTCACATTCACAAAGATTCGTCTCCAGTGTAAATGATCAAACTTCTTTGGATTTTACCGATCATTTTCCTATCGTGAATGGAAAACCATCGCCGCGCGATGAGCCCTTGGCATCAATCAGCATGAACGAACACTTGCTTAGACAGAACTTCGAAACCAGAAGCGAACAAGCCCTCACTAAATTGCCACACAATGGGGTTTCTAGTGAACAGAGACAAAATTCAAGAAATTCACTTGCTACAACGTTTAGACCAACAATCAACTTTGGACTCATGAAAGATCCGCAACCAGAAACAGTCCTAAGGCCAAGTACAATGCTCCAAATCACTCCATTACCACAGTCATCTTTTGATACAAACACTTTTGGTGATCGAACTCGAGAGTCGTTCACAGGTCCCGACATGAGAACAAACTTTGCGTTGTTTCAAGCCCCAACACCCGGGACGCCTCACGCAACTTTGCGAAGTGCAGGAAATATTCACGTCAGGCAACACGGTAATGTCTTAAATCCTCTCTTAACGACGGCTTTGCCTCTTGCAAAACTGGCCAAAGACGCGTCGCGTCATCATCAAGACGACGAAACAAATTCCTTAATTGACGATGTTACACATTCTATTATACGGAATCATGATCCAGAAAATATTTTTAATACTTTGAAGGATAAAACTAAAGCCAAAGAAGTAATTAATTCTGAATTGTCTTTCAATTCAAAACAGCAAAATCAAGACGCAATTAAATCAATCAATGACGCATGGCACCTCCAAAACACGCCTCAAAACATCGTTTTCTCTAATCACAAATTAAATACACCGAGGCCTCCTGAGCAAACAGTTGACCATCATACTCTAATTAATACTTTTCATAAAAATCCATCTCGCCCCCCACTAAGCAATCACACCAGCATCCAGACTCTAGGGCGCAGTTCACTGCATGATAAAGGCGTTAGACTGGACCAACACAAACTTATCCAAGTTCACGCGGATGCTCCACGTTTGGAAAGTCACCAACCGTCTTCTCGCCACTCAGCCACACCGCTCACCCCCGTCGCACTGCCTGAAGTCCTTCAAACGCCTGCTCAGTTCCAGGAATCTATTACTCATCACGATTCCAGTCTTCTTTTAGCCACTCCAAAACCTGGCTTCCTGCTACCACTTTCCAATACTGGAAACGTGAGTTCATTTGGGGTCTGGGCCACAGAGCTGAGGCCAAGAAGCCCTAATGCACGAACTGGGCAGGGTCTGCACTGAACATTTTTTCACTACTGCACTATCAAACTTTATTAGCATATCGCTGAGTGAGTGTCATAAAATATATATTTTTTGCATACTATGAACTATTATTCCGACGTTGTGAATAGCATGGTGTTTTAGAGTACTCAAAACTGACCAATAGTTATTTGAACTTCCCATACTGAGCTACGGCAGTAAATTATTTTGATTCCATTTCAATTTTGAAAATGCTTCCGGTGAAAAAATATATCTAAGCTTAAAATTACTCAGAATTCAAATGCATTGAAAATTATTCTTTCTGCCTTTAAAATTTATATGCGTAATAAAAGTTCATTTTTATTATTTTTTTTGTAGTTCAACGTATGGCGTTCGCGATGCATTGTAATGTAATTTAAGCAAAATTATCGGGAATAATTCAAAAATTTCTTCTCTACTTCCTCGACTCTCCTGTGTGCTTGAATTGCATCATGAAATTTATTCTGAAATCTTGAAGAGATATAGAGCAGATATTTAAAACAAGTCGAATATAAAATAAACTAAAGGTTAAATGTTTCATCTATTGGAGCGAACAGAACAACCTAGCTTGAGTTCGTTCATATAAATTTCTTGTGTATCAATTCGTAAAATGCAATGATACAATGCATGACTCAGCAACAGCCTGCTATTCATTTTCCAAACATCTACATATAAACATAAATTTTTAAAAAATTAATTCTTGCCTAAAATATCTTGAAAAAAACTTCCCGGTAAAAATTTTTTTCGCTACACTTTATTCTTACAATATTTTCCATGCCAATGCCGCACTTCATCTTTGTTCAGACAACAGAATCTTTTCTTGTACATAACACTCGAACTTCCTTGATTTTCTTCATGCTTAACACTCAAATGAAAAGGAAATCATTCAACTACATAAAATATCAACGTAATTCACTTTTTTTAAATTGTTCATCGAATTACCTAAATTCTGTAACTCCATCATATTACTTAAATTCTGGAACCCCGTCACATTACCTAAATTCTGTAACCCCGATACTGAAATCTACCTTCCTGCAATCTAAAAATAATAGATAAATACCTCGATATAGGAGCGCCATTCATTTCAACCCAAATGGATGCATATCCTAACTAATAGAATAAAGCTATAATTGACCCCTGCATCTTATATAGGCTTAATCAAATCACTATTAAACATTCCACCTATCATCATTGAACCAACTAATGATAGATCTCCGCATGTAACCCTGCCGATATAACTATTCTGGCGGGTCCACCAGCAGCAAGTAACTGAAGTGAGTCAGCTCATGGACCAAGGCGAAGTCCCAGGCACCATATGGCTGGACTATCCTGCCTTCACGCAACTGCCGAGCTTCTTGAACTTCAACTGCACGCAACATGTCCGCCTAGATCAAGATAAAGCACATCTCTTTCCTGATATCGACACGCGGTGTCAGGTTTGTACTGTGCACTTTGCAAAAAGTTCATTGTGGTGCTGTATTTAATAGAACATTGGTACCATTGTCGATGAGCTAAATTAATTCATTATACATTCTTCCTAGATTATAATGTTCCATGTCAGTTCTTAAGCGTTTAAAATCCATGTTGATCTATTACTGCCTATTACAGTTATTATTGCGTAATTTATAAAAAAATATAACTCAGTACTCACTGCAGTGAGTGACAGAGAGCGCATTTTCTCGTCGACGAAAACGTGAAGTCACGGACGGACAGACAGACAGACGGGCAGACATACGGACAGACGGACGGACGGACATGGCGAGCACAATAGCGCATTTTTTCCATAAATGAGAAAATGCGCTAAAAAATTATTACCTTCTTTTTATTTTGCACAAAAAATCACTACACCCGAAATTTGCTGCATGCTGCGACAAACCTGGGCATACGCAGGTTTGAAGCAATAATTAATTTGAAAAGTATGTCTTAAACCTACGTTTAGTTATTGTATTCTTATTCTCTATTATTGGATAAATTAATTCACTGTTCTTATCTCTAATCAATTTTGGTTAATTTCACTTTAAGCTAGAATCTTCTTGAAAACATCTATTTTTCTTCAATTTTACTTGTCACCATTACAAGTCTTGATAAAATACTTTCTATCAAAACTTGTTATGGTAAAATTCCTCTCAATTGACTTTTAAGGTCATAAGAAGCAGCTAAGATAATCCTGGATTTCAACTCTTCACAGAACCCACATGTGCGCTCTCATTAAAATTATCTTGCCATTATCAATCGGCATCGAAATGTTCTCGCACGCTGTAGCTGCTCCCATCTTCAATTCAATCATAGATAATATTTCGAGCCGAAAATAACTGCGGTAATATTTATCTATTTTGATGTAGAATTTCCGTTTGCTTTCTGTTAATTACAGCTCAGGTCGTATCATTCTTAATCAAGGTTGCTTTCTGTCATTAAGTTCATTTCATTATAGTGAATAATTTCTTTATTTTCAGGCGTACCATCTATGCCAAGGTGGCACCAGAACCAGCTTCATGTGTCCAATAGGAACGATCTTCAACCAAGTGACGCAGGTGTGCCAATGGTGGTTCCAAGTGCAGTGCCGACAACCCTTCAGCGCCGGATAAACTGGGCGATTCCGTTTTTCGTGATATGCTTGTTCATTATTGCTTCTTGTTGTCGAGGCCTAGATGGTTTAAAAGACTTTCTAGCATAAGAAACTAATTTAGGAGAGGGCTTATGTCATGGAGAAAATATCCGAGGAGGGTTAAGTAGCTGCGGTAATTTGCTTCTACTGTGGCACATATTTATTAAGAGGAATAATTAATGCGAATTTAGTGTTCAGAAAACATGTTACACTTAACCCCGTGAGAATTACATACAAAGCTGTCACCTGTCAACGCCATCACTGCCTACGATGTCATCAAGTCTTGCGTACATATGACGCAATTAAGGCGGTAATTATTAAAATATGACGCAATTAATTATGACGCAATTTTATATATATATGACGCAATTTTAATTAATTATTTTAATTAATTATTAAAATATGACGCAATTAAGGCGGTAAATTAAGGCATAAGAATCAGATGAATTTTTAGTTTGGAATAAATGTTACTCTAATTCTTAATTATATGTGGGTCAAATGTCAGCCCCTCATCCGGCTAAGATTTCTTATCCATATTTTGTTGAATTGTGATCACCTTCATTTAATTTTATCGGACAAATTCTAAGCATTGTTCAGCATTGATCAACACAAGAGCGCTGAGGAAAGTTAGTGTAGATACTTGCTCTATGAGAGCAGTAGGAGAAGCTTACCCTGGCCGCTTAATGAAGTAGGCAGAGGTGGAAGGTATAAGAAGGCCAATCTTGCTTCAGACCTTCGCTAAAATGAAACCCTTCACCTCCTTTATTTTTGTCATTTCGTGATTGCTTCAAGAAGGTTCTTCATATCACATTTGCGAAAAAAAAATTAGTTAGACTGCCGTGTATAATGCCGTGGCTGACTCGAGAGTTAGTCATGAACTCATTTAATCAAATTACTCTGGGTCACTGTAGCCTTAATCTGTTTCTTACTCTAATGAGACATGTACATATTGAACAGTTTTGTAAACTTAATTTTATGCGCGGGACTAGTTAGGCTAGTTAGCACCTGCCTCATAAGTAGTTGGCCTAACTAGAAATGACTTGCACAGATATTTGGTTTGGGGATGTGCTCACAAGGCTCAATGTATCAAGACGTATAGATGTAATTTACGTTCAAGCTGATGCAACAAAAGCAGTAATGTATGATTTATTAATAAATACTAATAAATGATTTTATTAATGGATCATTATGTTACCACTTGTTTTCAGCGCCCATTGTCAGCCCTGGTTTTTAAAAGCACGATCCATTCATCCATTCCTATTCCTAACCACTTATACTTTAATGTTTGGTCGTGATTAGCAATTCAAGTTGATAAATTTGCTCGAAGTATCAATTTGCGTACAATTGACAATCATCTTTTTCTGAGTAGAACATTTTACATAAAACTCAACTGGACGGCACTAGCAGTGTTAGTTGAATATTCGGTCCAAACGCCGTAGAGTTTTGGTTATTCGCTCCGGCATTACGGACGGCCCCGTTGATTCGCCGAAGTTGTTTTTAAACACTCGCTACCCAATATGTGCTAAACTTGAAGAACAATTTTATCCCCTACTATCGATGGGTCAAAACTCATCGCATTTCTTTTTAAAAAGATGGAAGAAGCAATATCTATTCAATTTATAATTAAGGTAACTTTGCTGAATTTAATTAAATTTCTTCTTAGATTGTTGCTCTTCACATTCGTATGTATAAATTTTGATTAAATAACAAATTTTTTGCGTAGTGAATTAATGAATCCTTCTCTTTAATAAATTCTTTCCCATTCCAATATGCAAAATTTTGAAACACACAAACGAGTAAATATATCTTATAATAGCTCATATTTCCTTGTGCTGGTTTCAGGAAAGTAAATTTCTGAATATTTCCATGCTCACGCCCGAAAAGATTAAGGGTTATAAATCTTCAACAAATTGTTGACTTGTAGCGCCACCAAATAATTTCAGGACAATCTAGTATTTTTTCAGTAAACAACGCTACTTAGCTGCTAAATTTTGTCCTGACATTGTGGAATTTTATCCTAAAAACCGCGATGTTTCCGCGCGTTCTAGCATATACGAACTGATGAGAACTAATTGAAAAAGATATACAAATTCACGAAACAAAAGTCAGTCCTTGCTACTAAAAAGTTCTTTCCCATAGGGTAGCGTGGGGCAGCGCGCCCCCCACTTTTTTTAAACTAAATTTTTGATGAAGTTTTAATTGATACGAGGTGGTTCTTTGTTTTGTTTAAAGGTACAACTAATGAGGAATGTATGATGTGAATTAGACGCCTATAGAGTTATTCAATTTTTAATGAAACACTATTTTGTAAAATACTTTGAAAAATAATTCAAAGTAATTTCAAAATCTTCATCTATAGTAATGGAAAAAAACTTTATTTAGCGGCAAAAAAATTTTTATCTGTACTAAAACAGTTATTCGCAAAGAACTTAATAACGCAAACACTTAGCAAAACGTAAATCCGCACACTTCATCCCAGTGAAACTGTCGACCGGCGGTAGAGAACACGGACCAATATCTGCCATACTTAGCGAGAAACCCGCTATGGGCCCGTGACCCGCAGTGGGCTCGCTGCCCCATGTTACCCTACTATTTCGAGCTTCATTGAAATTGTTGGCATCAATTTTAACCTTCAAGTTAGTGCATTGAAAGTTTAAGTAATGATAAATGTGAAAAGTTGGTATAAGATATAAGTTGGTATATGGAAAACCCTGAAGAATAAGCCAAGTTATGCAGTCTAAGGATTGTATTCTCTTAATTGAACTATAACTACAAAACATTAAATTAATAAACAGGCATGTTATTAATCATTACTTAACCCTCAACCGCCTGACATGAATAACCCGAGCAATATTGTCACAAGCCTACTTCCCAAAAAAATACGTTTTAAATAAAAATTACTTGTATAAAATAAAATAAAATAAAATTACTTGTATTGATGGTTGCCGACACGTACGATAACTTTAAAATGTTCTCTGTTGAGCACAAGTGTCCTCAGATTGCTACACTCAATAGTTTACCTATAATTTAAGTTGAAAGTTATGTTCCCGGAGAGTGACGCGGTGGTAGAGGGTTAACTGGGGTAGGCAGCTCTGTTAAAGGCCAGACGGTGCAGTCTGGGATGGTGCAGCCTAGCCTGCAGTCTAATGATAAATCAATACGTGAGAAGCACGTAATGTGAATACCAAGACCTACTGATGCTAATCTACGAAGCTACTTAATTGCAAACCATCCGCGTCAAAACGCGAAGAGAATTAACTGGTTAGATAATTTTCCGGACAGCTTGGAATTAAGATCCTGTACGAAAATCATATTTAGAATGCTTAAAAAGTAATGTAGACAGTAATGCTTAAGTAAGACAGTAATGCTTAAAACAACAAGACTATCATGCTTAAAAAAGAACGGCTAATTGTAGAGTTGAGGGAAGCGTAAGGGTTTAGGCAGGCAACAGGGTTGAACGCTGGCTCGGAAGTAAGGAGAGGTTAAGGGTTGAGACCAGCTTAAACTTGATGTCAGATTAAAAGTTGAGGGAGGTAAGCAAGTAGAGAGAAGGCTACAGGGTTGAGGTAAACTTACAGGGTTGGGAGGGTGAAGGGTTGAGGGTAGAGCGCAGAGTATAACGTCAAGCGCCGCTGACGAAGCTTCGCACCTCATCAATTCTCTGTAGCCGCCGGCCACACCAAACATTCCTGCCTGACTTCCTTCTCCGTCGTTCATCTCAACTTCTTCTTGTCGACCAGGCGTCAGCACTCACATCAATAAAATATATATATATGATTGACGGTCCGGACACTCATTAATCAAGCAGATTAGAAAGCCTAGACTTAGCAGCAAAAACACAGTAGTTGTTTTGATATTCTTAAAGCAAGCCCCTACGGACAACCCAGTTCTTGTCATGAGAAGGGGCCCATTTTTAAACACAAATAGAAGAAACTTGTTGTTACGAGAATTCCATTTTTTAAAATGACTTGTATTTTGTTGCTGAAAGGAGCACAATTTCCACACGACTCCTGTCACGAGAAGGACCATAATTCTAGTCACGATAATTAGTGCAATTCTTGTCATTAGAAGAAACATGATTCATGTCAGAAAATGAGTACGATATTTGGATACAAAATGAGAACGATGTCACAAGAAAATACACCATTTTCGTCACGAGAAGGATCATGATTTTCGCAAGGGAAAAAATACATTTTTGTCATGATAATTAAGGAACATGATTCTTGTCTCAAGAAGAAGCCCTCGTCTTGATACAAGGAGGAGGAGGCACATGTCTTCTCATCAAAAGGGACATATTTCTGGTCATGAGAATTTGCAAAATTCGTGTCACCAAAACAATCCCATGTAGTGTCGTGTTGAATGACACAATTCTTGTAATGGGGACAAAGACAAGAATTTGCGTTGGTCAAGGTAGTCACAGATTACAAGGATACGATTTTGTGATAGAATATATTAAAGGAAGTGATAATTATATAGCGGATTTGTTCTCAATAAATCTTCAGTAATGATATTAATTTGTACTATCTGTATTGTGTTTGTTTTAAGATCGTTTTTCTATGCTAGCGTATTTTGTCGTAGAGTGAAGAACGGAGAGGACTTTAAACCAAGGAACTCATTGTGTCACAATAGATAGCCCATGTCATGTCATGAAAAGATGCACAATTATTGGCAAAAGATAAATCCCCAGTCTAATCATGAGAATATATCTAATTCTTGTCACCAGAAAGGTCGCATGTTTTTGTCATGAGAAGATGCAGAATTTCCGTCGCATTGTGAACCGTTACTCAGTCGGCGTTACAGGAGCTTGGCCATCGCTACGTTTTACGAGGATTTCTTACGTGCGCCTCTGGCAGTTACTGTAAACTGTTTACTGCACGCCACCATCTGCCGATGCTGCTGCTGCTGGTGCTGCTGCTGGTGCTGCTGGTGCTGCTGGTGCTGCTGGTGCTGCTGGTGCTGCTGGTGCTGCTGCTACTGATGCTGGTGATGGTGCTGCTGCTGCTGCTGGTGATGCTGCTGGTGCTGCTGCTGCTGCTGGTGGTACTGGTGATGCTGCTGCTGCTGCTGGTGGTACTGGTGATGCTGCTGCTGCTTGTGCTGCTGCTGCTGCTGCTGGTGATGCTGCTGCTGGTGGTGGTGCTGGTGATGCTGCTGCTGGTGCTGCTGCTGGTGTTGCTGGTGCTGCTGCTGGTGCTGCTACTGTTGCTGCTGCTGGTGCTGCTATTGGTGCTGCTGTTGCAGTAGGTAATGGTTTTTGTCAATGATTAGTCTTAACGTTTTAACGTAGTAAAGCCTTCATTATGTTTTTATACGAATGACTAGTCATTACTTCTAACAGATTTTTCATTAAATAATTATTTGTAAATTCATCAATTTGCATGAATTATTAACACCTAAAAATTTTTAGGTGCATTCAAGATTTTTTCAACTACGAATGAATATAAATGAACCAGTATTAACTGGCGAAGAGCAATAAATTTGAGTCCAAATAATTTGAAGAGCAAATTCTGAAAAGTAATATGCAAATTATGTGAACTTATACCCTAATTCACATGGCAAAATGAATGCCGGTGCAACGGGTGTATTCATCTCTATATATGTAAGAACAAGCATCGATTTCTCACCAAAGTATAACCATAACAATGACAATTTTCGTTCGACAATCCTTCTTTATATATAAATGCTCGTTGCTAAAATACAAATATGTTTCATAATTTATTTCTTATGCGAAACAAATCAGCAGCTTTCCATGTACCACAGCAATAATGAGACTCATGATATAAAATAAAATGAGGATTAAAGTATTAAATAATTTCAGTTCAGTTTTAGTCTCACGCGTAAATTGCGCGTCTGGCGCAGAGCATTTGTGGGGTGCTAAAAGCAGAGGCTCATCGCCAGTCGGGGTCGCATTCCCAAAAATTCTTCACAAAATCTCTGCTCTTTACTTCAGGGGAACACAAAAAAGCAGGAGAATGTATCTCGTGATTGGTGTTACCCTCTTGACGTCATGAGTCATTTAAGCCACGGCAAGTGAGGGAACGCGCTGATTGGTTGGCGTAAGATGACGTCAAAGTGAGGGTTGACTCTAATTGGCCGCTCATAGCCGCGGTTGCCCTGAGAAAAATCCTGTGCATCTCACTGGTCGGGAACATCTGAGGGTTATTTAGTGCAGCGTGTGATTGGCTGAGATGGACGAGGGTAGAGCTATGCTTCCTCGCGGTTTTTTATTGGTTGATGCTGTAGCACGTCACATGGAAGATGAGAAGGAAGACTTTCTTGCTAGTCCGAACAAACAGTTCATCGCGGGTGCCTCAAGGAACTGTTTGCTGTTGTGCGATCTATATACAAAAACGATCTCTCAGTGTAAACGATAACGATTGTTGCGATAACACCACGAAAATATTTACTCCTTACACTCTAGCGGCGCGCATGCAAAATAAGCAGGTCACCCAGGGACATTCTCGAACACAAGGTCAAGGGTTATTCAGGAACAAAATATTTAAAGTCTGAACTCGGTGCTTGTTTTGTGTGTTTGATGGAAGTCAAAACATTTGACGAGTACAAAGATGTAGGAAAGCAAATTGAGGGCAAGGAGGCTTTGCATTATCGCTTCTTAATTCGAGGTCAAGATCTGGCCAGCTGCTATGAAGAGAGTTTACCATCGAAATTGGAAATGTGGCAGTGAAAATCTTTGCATATTCGTCCCATCAAGTGTATAATTTCTAATGAAAACGGGGATCCGCAATGCACGAACCTATACGCTTACGTTCGCTTGGCAAGAAAAATTATCAAAATTAAGAAAATGAGCAAATGTGTGATGAATCAAGAAATTTAATGAAATACTTGCACTGCTGGAAAATAACAGTAAAAAGCAATGAAATGAAACTACAGAGATAAATTGTAAAATTTCTTTTTATCAATACTAAAACAGTCACTAATCTGCATGTTCATCGTTCAAAGCCTTTTCTTACAACTTGGTTAACAGCTGTAAAATGATGACTTAGGACATGTCCTGTTAATTCCTCTCTAAAATTATTCAAGTTATGGCTATCATTTGCCTATTGTAAGCTTTTTTGGGAGCGGTCACGGCCGTGCCAGAAACACGTGAGTCATGAAAGAAGAAGTAGAACTTACGCAGAGTTCTTGCCTGTCCGCCCTGGGCCCAATGCTTGACCCGACCCACGGGCAAATACCTGGGACTGTTGTGCCCCTGCAGCCTGTTGCAATGAGCGCCCCCACAACAGCCTTGGCTCCTCAGCAACAAACTGACGTCGACACAAACGGCTCGAGTTCCGCTGAGAAGTCCGCAAAGAGAGGCGGCACGAGGCGCCAAGAGAAGCCCCCCTACAGCTATATCGCGTTAATCGTCATGGCCATCCAGAGTTCCCCGCAAAGACGTCTAACTTTATCGGAAATTTACAGCTTTCTTCAACAAAGATTTTCTTTTTTCCGAGGATCGTACATGGGCTGGAAGAATTCAGTGCGGCATAACTTGAGTCTAAACGAATGCTTCATCAAGCTGCCAAAAAGCATGGGTAGGCCCGGCAAAGGCCACTACTGGGCCATAGACCCTACGGCCGAACTCATGTTCGAAGAAGGTTCGTTTCGCCGACGACCAAGAGGCTTCCGACGCAAAGTTCAAGCCATGAAGCCGTACCAGTTGCCACCCCCTCCTCCCCTACCGTACGACCTCTACACCGTACCTGCATCTGCTAACTATCCTGCTCAGTACTCACAGTCGTATCAAGACTACCCTTATTCACAACAGCAGTACGCTATGTACGGCTACACTCCTGAGTACGTCACTCATGCTACTCATGGTAACGTGTCGCCCTCACTGATTTACCCTCACCCAGGAGGTCATGGGTCTAGTCTACCTCAGGTCACGTCAGACCGGGACATGTGGGCCTCCAGCATCGGGCCAGTGTCGGGCCAGAGCTACATTAAAAGTGGAGCCAGTCCCGCAGGTGAGAACTGAATTATTTACAAATAATGACGTCAAATTCACCGTAATAATTTGTGTAATAAAGAAATATATTTCTGGGAGATGCAACAGAACTCTTGTTTGGTGTTTGATCATTTATTGTAACGTTTGTAGAAAAAATGAGGAACTAGCTATCAATTATTTATTATTATACGAGTATACGATGAAGCATGATGAATTAACTACATGATTATTTTTCATAACATTTGGACAAGCATGATTCATTATCGGACCAATTACTGGTATTTGTAGAAACATTTGTACGGGAATGATGAATTAGTTAATAAATTAATTGTTGCTATATACATTGTACGTGTATGATTAATTAGCTTGTCAATTCTTTATTGTAGCATTTGGAGACGTGCGTGATGAATCAGCTGATTGATTATTTATTGTATCATTGTACGTGCGTCATGAATTAGCTGATCAATTACGTATTGTAGCATTGTACGTGAGTCATGAATTAGCGGATCAATTATTTATTGTAGCCTTTGACGTGCGGCCGCTGAGTCTCGTCGTCGGAGAGTCGCCATTGCATGCATATGTTTAGGCAATATATTTTCCTCTTTATAGGTTATCTATGGTCGTAGTTGTTACTGAAACGAGTAATGTTTGACGTAGCTTTCCTATTGTGTGTATAACACCTTAGTAATACGAATCATTTCCATCGAATAAGAACAGTGGCGCAATATTCGCTAATAATGATTTGAAACCAACGTGGAAGTGTCGAGGGTATAAATGTGTGGTGGCTAAATGCGAGTAACTTTTTGGAATAAAAGATTTATTTGCTGATATTGCGCGAGGTTTGATTTGCTGAAAAATGGAGATTGGATAGAGAGTTTACTGGTAGCCTCTTGTGCATTTAAACGGCCAAGAAATTCTGAGCAATTAGATGAAACTACTTATATTAATAAAACTGACTTCAACCCTGTTCAAATTAACAGTGAAAAGAAAACTAAAGTTGGAGCAGATTCACTCTAACATTATAAGGTCGGTGTAACGATCTTACGTGCCGAGATTCAATAATAAATTCAGATTCAAAGAACATTTATATTAATTGGTGCTTACAAATTCGCACAAACCTAAGTATTCTAGATTAAAGTTAGAGCACATGCAGGAGCGACACGGCGTATAGGTAACGGCATAATTATTACGCAACGGTGATCCCCTAAAAAGAACAAAGTCATTTAATGATCATTTCGATATAGTATTTTACGCCGATATGGAAATAAATCCTCAATACAAAATTAATAACCTAAGAAACAAGATACGATATAAGTAAGTATCAACAGATACAGTAGAGGTTATGAAGACACTAGAGCATTATGCGTACTTCTGCAGTTGCCGAACACAAATTCTTGCACTAAACCCATGCAGAGGCAAGCTCGCATAGCATCAGCATACTGCTACGGGATCGTCAACCCGCTCTCCAAATTCTACATTCACCACATTGGTTCTTTTGATCTTTTTCTTCTTATCGTTGTCTAAGAAATCCAGAATAAGATTCCTACAGTCGGAGAACATATTTTTATTGCTGTTCTACTTCACATGCCTTGTTCACTCTTAGCATTCGTGCAGCATCCACTTGCCGCCCAACTTATGGCATCACTAAATAAATGACTAAATGACTTATGATATGCAGAGAATAGTTTTGACCCCGAAGCTGAAGGGATGCAGATGTAGTTGAAAGATCAATGTATCGGATCCAAATCTTTATTGGTGGTGTAATCGCATGGTGTTTTTCCAGGGTGTAATTTCAGGAACAATGAAATGATCGATTTGACGTCACAATTGATCGAAAAGTTAAAAAAATAATGACAACCAAATGAATTAATCGGAAAGTTAAAAAAATAATGACAACCAAATGAATTAATCGGAAAGTTAAAAAATAATGACAACCAAATGAAAATTCTGCAACAATTCTGTCTTTAAAAAAATGAATATTGGGATAACTATAAAGTTTAGTAGTGGTCACCAGCGGGACACGTAGTAGAAAGGACCAACACACCCGTGGCATCATCAGATTTTCAGCACCCACTTGGCAACATCAAGTTTTCAGCACACCCACTTGGCAACATCAAGCTTTCAGCTCACCCACTTGGCAACATCAAATTTTCAGCACCCGCGTGGTCCCACCTATAGGTCTTCGCCCCTAGCAGGCAACATTAACGTCTTATTTAGAGGGCTGCAAAGGATGACATTTTCAATATCTTGGAGTCATTAACAGCAACATTTATTGGATCACAAGTCACCTCTGCAGCTCAGGGCTGAGAAGTGTTCGGCCATTCATGGGAAATTGAGAGGCGAAGACTCAAGGCTGCCTGGGAGTCTTTTTAGGAGTCAGAAGCAAAATGAATTCCTAGATTTAAAACGATTTTACCTCAGAAATATTGATAGAAGCTTTTTCTCCAGGTTCCCCTGGGCCTTTGACCCCCCCGGTCCACGACGCGATGGGGGGCAGTACCACATTGTACCCCCACCATCATCCCCACCCTCTCCACTACACGAGTGGGGGGGACATACTGGGGGGAATACCCACAACCTCTGCTGTGACCTCATCAGCAGTTAATCCCCAGCTGGGGTACAGTTCATCCCCTCAACTCATAGATGCTTCAAACATGGCCGTCTCCATGCACAGTAAGTAAACAAATTCGTTGACATTTTGATATCGACTTCAACTATTTCGGTTACTGTCATGACATGCTCCGTTCACAGCATACTGTGAAATTTTCATGTCTTGTCTTGTATTCTTAAGACTTATATCGTTCCTAACTTGAAATGTTATACCCGAGGTTAAGTATGCCACGAACTGTGTTATGTCTGGTTTACAACTTGAAGTTTCGGGCTGTGAACAGTAGTGTGAAGAGAAACAGTATGGAGCATGTGAGATGTCAACTTTCATACCAGACATTTCACATGCTCCATACAGTGCTTTTCAGCCTTATACTGCTCGTTACTTCAGTTTTATACCAGTCATGATGCATGTTCTATAGCATTCTCTTCAGTCTTATACTGCTCGTTACTCCAAGTTTTATACCAGTCATGAGTCATGACTCGTGTTCTATAGCATTCTCTTCGGCCTTATACTGCTCGTTACTCCAAGTTTTATACCAGTCATGACTCGTGCTCTATAGCATTCTCTTCTGCCTTATACTGCTCGTTACTCCAAGCTTTATACCAGACACCAAACATGTCATACATCACGATGATATCTGCTCGTAATGCTATATTTTTGTCCGGGTAGCGTGATAGTCTGCAAAGAGTTCACTCTAACTTTATGGCATTTAATTCAAAGTTCTACATCAGCCATCACGCAAAACTAAATCGTTCACTCGAACATGTCGTCGCTCATTTTTTCTCCATCTCTTTAAATGATTTAAGTTGAAGCTCGCCTGCCCTCGCTTCTTCCCTCATCGCAGACAGCCCTACTCAGGTGTCCACGCTAGAACAACAAGGATAGATTGCCCGAGCGGCAGTGAGCACAAACCAAAATACGACTCAACTCCACTGAAATAACAATAACAACTGTCACTAAAAAACAGCTGTCTCTAAAATACCAATAACAACACATGAGCTCTTCGCTTGTCTCCCCAATTGCATTGTCATGATTTTCGTCAATTTGAAGTGTCTGATTATTATTATTGGTGTGAGGAAGGCGACGAAAATAATTTATTACAATTATGGATACCATTAAAAATTATTTCACTTTATTGTTTACATTAAGTAACTATTTGTATTCAGTTTTTTACACATTTCTTGGGATATTTTATTAACCTCTGTATATATTATTTTTAAACTCATTAGTAATGAATTTTAGTTTCAGTTTTTTTTTTAATTTCAACAAGTTCAATTTTCATTGATTAAATTTCAAAATTTATCATTTGTTGCTCAGTAAAGCGATTAGAGAAAAATGTTAGATAATTTGCCAATAATTTACAAATATTAATATAAATTTATGAAATTTAACCCCCGCTAAAATAACAACGATTATTGTAACTAACAACGACTAACGACGACATCGAATCAAAAAACACAGCGCCATGTTGGCGGCCGAGGGGATCTCGCGAATACTCGGCTTCAGAAAAAATTCCTTCATTACTTACGGTAACTCTTGCTACCAGTTCATTACAAGAGGATAGAATTGATGACTCCTAATGTATACGATAATTGGTTAACGGTTGTTATGTATATTTGAGTGGGATTGAAAGCTTCGTCGCCGATATAAGCTAATTGTATTAGCTGCTGTGACAGCTCAAGCTGTCGTCGAAGTCGCCTTATTTTAATTTTCGTTTGGAATTTGGAACATTTCACTACTGAAATTTTCTAGTTGTATCCACGTAGGAAAATTATCATTTAAGTGGTTTGAAGCGTAACGTAGTCATTAATAATGTTTTCGAATGAAACTTGAAGCATCGTCGTGTTGGCGTTAATATGCAATATTAAAATTATGTTGCACATACGACGTTGTTTAATGTAGGATTCATGTTGACATACGATGTTGATGTGAATCATTTTACGAGCAGTTTCATATGGGAAACAACGACGATAGCGCTGGGAATTACTCTTAATTACTTTCACATAGTAGTTGACGGTATTAAGGACACACTGAAAACAAAACGGCGGAGTAAACAATGAACACACATATGTCTACATGTTATATCCGAGGGTAATGCCCAATTGTGAGTATGACGACCAAATGCTGCACATTTATGGCGGACGGAGCGCCGAATCCTTGTTGTTTTTTCTTCATCTGTGCCATCTGGTAGCTACACATCTGCTATTTGAATGACTTTAATTCAAAATAATTGTCTGTGATAAATAAATTTCATCACATAAAATTGTGTGTGACGAATAAATTAGAGAAAATATTGGCAACGTTAAATGGACGGGACAATTAAGGTATTGTGTTTGTGTATCAGATGCATCAAAATATTCAAAATATTGCAATGCATCAAAATATTCAGTAGCATTGAAAAAACAGTTTGCCTAATATCTTTTTTTTATTCAGAAAATGTATTAAAAATATCAAGACTGAAAATCCCAAAAATGTTGAAGAGTGACACATTAACTGGCTCCATTAGCTGAATGTTGAACAGGCAACCTTCAGAGAATCAAGGCGGTGCTTGGACATTCCAAAGTCATTTTCACCGCGTGAGACATTAACTGTCGCAAAGATGCAGGGATCGCAGCTTAATCTTCTTATCACGGAATTAAGATATTCAAATGAACATTTAATTTTTGTGCCTGCACTCGCATCAACCTGTATCGCGTATTATATAATTTTGTATCGCGTGGCCGACCTTTGCAGCAAAGGTCGAACCGAATTTTTACTGCATGAATATTAAATTTTTACATCCAATGCTCAATGTTAGCACAAAAATTTTGAAACAACTTTGAAATATCTATGAAATTGAGCCGAAAAATCTCTGGTTTTAGAACAGACGCTGAATGAAGTGAAAATTTCATGCAGAACCTAACGTGCCAAGTATACGTATAAGTTCAAAATTGACATTCAATTCAATACTGACAACCTGAAATTGGTCGAATTGTCAACGTTGAACTGATGATGAAAGTTTGATAAACGTACAATAACTGAATATTGAATTTTCTCTGATGTGAAATTCTAGTCGTCTCGTGTCTCACCGAGTACTGGTCACATCGCGAAATCAATGTCATAGTGAAATCGGCTTGATCATCATTTAAACCTGAAATCAACTAGCAATCGAAGCTGTTCAAATGTCAAAAACTTGCATGGGTATGTTTATAGATTTTTACCAATACGTATACAAATGTTCAAATAATCGTTCGAGGATGCTGTGTGTTCTCGCAGAACATAAGTGCAATATTTAGCCACACATAATGTTTGGCAAAAAAAAACTTTTTCAAATTTTTCGTACAATCTAAATTAAACTCACATTTGTCGGGTTTTCACTGAACTTTGATCACATTTTCTTGGCTCACAGAATTTTGCGCACATGGTTGAGTGTAGAGACACAGCCTTCTACACACATGTGTCCTGTGTGGGCTGTGTACACAGACGCTGCAGAGTTTGTTTACACAGCTCATGCCGTGTCGCGTCTCTGTGCTGTCGGGTTCGAGCCTCCATTAGAGCTTGTACAGCATCGCTATTTCCCAGCACAGATTTTAGCTAATTGTTGTAGCTCATCGCTTCCCGGCTGTCAAGACTCGAAGTAAACGCAATAACTAAGGATATTACACATGTTCTACGTAAGAATATTTTACACATGTTCTTCGTAAGGATATTACTAATCTTCTACCTAAGGATATTATACATATTCTAGGGAAAATGTGGTGAAATGATTGAAATTACTACTTACTCACTGAGTCCGATTCTAAAATACGAGATTCTAGATGATACTCTAAGAGATGCCTAAATAAATTTTATATGTATTCAGCCCTCTTCTGATGCACATAGAAATGAAGTAAAATATTTTATGGAGAGATTTTCCCGCCTCTTAATGAGGTTATAAAGCGTAAGGCTCGTGATAACCTTTACGCCGTGGAATCGGACTGATGCTATTCGGTTTTCGAGCTTGCACTTTTAAACATGACTGATGACTTTTATTACTTTTAAATAGGGACCGTTTAGAGTTTACATGACACCTCCGTAAGCTCATAATATTTATTTGCAGTCTTAGAGCAACATTCTCTCCGCAAGAATGTCTAGTTATGATAGATTTATTTTCCCAGAATTGCATCACAAATCACCTGTGACAAGGAGTAATCGGTCGCAATCTGTCGCTACCGCGGCCACCTCCGTAGGCTCGTGGGAAGCACAAGGACGTGTAATCTGCAATAGTCCGTCCGTCTGTCCGTCCGTCTGTCTGTCCGTCTGTGACTTCACGTTTTTTGTCGACGAGAAAATGCGCTCTCTGTCACTCACTGCAGTGAGTACTGAGTTATATTTTTTATAGTTGTATTTAGGTAGTAGTCTATTTCGTCACTATCAGTAAACAAAATTTTTTTATATCTGCAACTTAATTAACGTTCGTTATTATTACCATGCTACGATTGTTGATATAGTTCAAAACTTAGCAAGTTATTTATACATACTACGAGTGTTGATTATTACAACTACACTACGCAAATTTTTAATCTTATTCTATACCAGTTGATAGTACCACACTACGCTGTTTAACAATACTTTACTACGCACGTTAATAGTAAAAACAACGTGCGATAATATGGTGTAATGGTAAGCGTCATTTTGTAATTACTATACATGTGTTAATAATACTAAACTACTCTCATCAATAGTACTATACTACCATTATTATTATGATTATACTGATAATTATACTATGCTTCGCGAGCAGTCACCCCTTGCCAGTTTTTGAGAGAGGAGCTATTGGCACAGACATTCCTGCGTGTCTAACTGGACAAATGATATTGGCGGCTATACTNTAGCTGCTCTGCTGCTGACAGACCTAAACCTACGAGCTGACTCTAGCTGTGCTGCTGACAGGCCTAAACCTGCGAGCTGACACTAGCTGCTCTGCTGCTGACAGGCCTAAACCTACGAGCTGACTCTGGCTGTGCTGCTGCTGACAGGCCTAAACCTACGAGCTGACTCCAGCTGTGCTGCTGACAGGCCTTAACCTACGAGCTGACTCTAG